CACCCTCGCCGCCCCAGCATTAACTGGAAGGATGGGCCCTCTGCCGGGGTACTGGGCAGTAATGCCACCAAAATCGGGACGCTGCCACCTGTCATGAGCCCACAGTCCCGAGTGAGAGGCCGTACTGATATATCGCGCTCCAGCGACTCACCAAACCCCACTGCCCCAGATCCGGAAGAAGGCGGGGTAGGCTCAGGCTTTGCTTCGCGTGCTCCGGTTTCTTTTCTTAACTGTGAACTAGCGTGGGGATAGCTTTATTTCTCTGATTGTGCAGTGACTTTTTGAGAACGGGGGCCTGCGCCAGCCCACCTGACTCAGCAAGACCTGAAATGCGCGGATCCATGTGTATCAACAGGGACTCAGAGAGAATAGAGCAGTCGCCCGCGGCACAGTCAAAGAGGGTTGGCGCTTGGAGGATGAGGATCTGGACAGCGGTCGCTCGCCGCAAGCCCGGCAGCTGTCTGGCCAGGGGAGATGAGGGTGGGGGCCCTGGGGGTGGTCCCTTGGGTGAGGCGAGAGAAGCTTGGCGGTGTGTGACCCACGGTCCGAACCAGCAGCCCTGGCCAGCCCTCGCCCACGAGCGCGAAGTTGGGACTGCAGGACCGGGCCGGAATGACGTAGGTCAGGCGACATTCCCAGAGCGCCTCCCGAAGACCGAGTGTTGCGGAAGGCACGCGCCCGACTGGTGATGACAGCACCCTCTGCAGGTGGATGGGGGGTCGATGCTTGGGGTACATCCGTTCGTTACGAGGAGACACCCATCTGGGGGAAGGGTGCCGTACGTAGGCATCAGGCCTCAGCGCGGCCTTCAGGAGTTTTCTCCTAGCCTGGGGTCGGGGTGTACGATCGCGACAGCAACTCTTACGTTGAGGTGGGGCCGTCAGATCTCCACCTGTCCCACCAGCTCCTGGGCAGGGGCCACCTCCCAGCTGCGACTGAAAACCAGGCCGCAAGCAGCAGAGGCGACAACAACCCCACAGATGGGGCTCTAAAGATAGACAAAGACCACAGGCCGCTCGGGGTGGACCTTAAGAGGTCGGGAGGAGGTTCCTTAGTGCCTCTCTGGTTCCTTAGGGAGAGAACGTCTTTTTTGTGGTCACCAACCTGATTGTGACCCCCAACCAGCGGCAGAACGTCTGTGCTGAGGTTTGACGCGGCGAGGGGCCCTGGCGTGGGGGTGGGAGAGCCACCGGCCGTGGTTGGGGTCTACTGTCTTCTGAAGCAAGGGTGTCCGTCCACTCCGAGGGTCTCGGGAGGTTGAGTGTGCCCGTGTGTGGTTCCTGAATTGTATGGGGAGGAAGCAGGTTCTCAAAGTGTGTGTGGCCCAGGTCAGAGAAGAACCCCTATTCTAACTCCCAGAGTGGGACTCGGATCTGAGCTGGGGGGATCCCCCCCATATCCAGGTGCTCCTTCTCTCCCGGCAGAATGAAGGCATTCCTGACGGCACCTGCTCCAAGGACAGTGACTGCCACCCTGGGGAGGCGGTTGCAGCTGGAAATGGTGAGGGCCTGGAGCGGCCAGGGGCTGAAGGAGGACTTGGAGTGGGAGGCTCCTGGCATTGATCCTGTCCCACCCCTGCAGGAGTGAAGACTGGCCGCTGCCTGCTGAAAGAGAACTCGGCCAGAGGCACCTGTGAGATCTTTGCCTGGTGCCCGGTGGAGACAAGCCCCAGGCCGGTGTGAGTGGCTGCAGCCTCAGGACCCTGAGGGGTTTCCCGGCCCGGGGCACTGGGTCCCAGCCTGAGGGTGGAGTCCTGCCCACTCTGGGAGCCTCATGCTGAGGGAGAAGTCAGGCTGTCCCAACAAGGCCTGACAACCTCCCCAGCATGAGCAAATTAACTATTCTTGGCAGAGGCTCCAGGGGACCCAAGGAACAGGCCTCACACTGGCCCAGGCCTGGGGAAGGGGCACAGGGGTGGGGCCTCCTGGACAGGCTGTTCTGGGTTGGTTTTCAGGGAGCCAGTCCTGAAGGAGGCCGAAGACTTCACCATTTTCATAAAGAACCACATCCGTTTCCCCAAATTCAACTTCTCCAAGTATGTGGGCTTGGCTACTGGGGGCCAGGGGTGGGCCTTGGTCCATGAGGGGCCTAGGCTGGCCCTCCTTGGGTCTGTGCCTGGGGTGTATGTGTGTGTGTGTGTGCGTGTGTGTGTGTGATGTCTGCATGTGAATAAACGGTGGGTGACACTGGGGCGCCCCTTCGCCCTGCTGTTAAGTAGGGTGCTGCTGCAGGGAGCTGTCAGGACTCAGGTTGGTGAGGGACAGAGTGACTCCTGGCGAGGCCCGGGAACATCAAGTCTTACCTCATTTCTCGGCTGCCCGTGGCCTCCACCCAGGAGCAATGTGATGGACATCAAGGACAGATCTTTCCTGAAATCCTGCCACTTTGGCCCCAAGAACCACTACTGCCCCATCTTCCGACTGGGCTCCGTGATCCGCTGGGCTGGGAGCGACTTCCAGGATATAGCCCTGGAGGTGGGTGGGATGCACGAAGGGAACCCTCCCTGAGGGCCTGGGGGCGCTGGGACTGGCTCTTCGAGGAAGAGGGTGTGGACGTGTGGACGGGACTCCTGGGGCGAGGGTGGCTCTGCAAAGTCACCTGCCCCCAGGGACTCATTGTTTTCAGAATTGGCTGTGGCACACAGGCAGGCTGTCGCAGCACTCAGACCACGGGCACTCAGTGAGAGCCAGCCCTGGCACCTGCTGTGCAGTTCTGAGTCCTTGAGGCACCAGCTGAAGGTGAGGCAGAAGGAGCCCGTTTGGCACACCCTGGCTGGAGTGTGAAGTGCCTGTCCAGAGGAGATGCCCACCCTGGGTGGCTCCCTTCTCCCTGAAGAATGAGGGAGGCAGCCCTGGGGCTGGGGCGATGCAGTGTTCTCAGCCGCTCCATGGGGGGACTAAGCCTCCCGAAGGGTGGTCTTGAGGGGCTGACCTCGTGCCTGAGCACCTCCTCCTATTGTCCGGTGCCGGTGAAGGGCTGGCCTGGGATGCTGTCGGTCTCCGGAAAGCTCTGTGTGCTGACCGTCGTCTCTCTTTTATCAAGGGTGGTGTGATAGGAATTAATATCGAATGGAACTGTGATCTCGACAAGGCTGCCTCTGAGTGCCACCCTCACTATTCTTTTAGCCGTCTGGACAATAAGCTTTCAAACTCTGCCTCCTCCGGGTACAACTTCAGGTAACCGCTGCCTGTGCCCCCTTGTGACCTGGCCATGATCAGTGGCACTTCTCTGGGTGCCGGCACCATGAGACCCCTTCCTGGGGGTGGGCATCAGAGCGGGAGGTGCAGGGACAGATGGCCGAGGAGAGGTGTGGGCCCCAGCAGAGCGGCCAGCAACCAAAGCTGGGGGTGCCCCTGGGAGAGGAGAGCACCCCTTTGCCTGTTCTCTTGGTGAAGCCGAGTCTTACTGCCCCTGCTGCATCCGTTCCATCCGCACCTCGGCGACCCGGGGCTTGCTCAGAGTGGGCGGGGAGGCCCTTGCCCCTCAGGGAATGTCTGGCAGGGATTTCAAAGAGTTGCATGTGTCTCTGTTTTTGGCTCGGTGAGAGGGTCTGCAAGCCGCTCCTGGGGCTGCTCAGAGTCAGGGTCCCGGGAGTCATTCTAAGTCCCCAGAGCAGCCACATCGGTGCTGCCAAAAGAGGGAAGGCCAGGCAGGCTGAGGCCTCCCCGGGCTCCTGCCTCCCTCAGATTTGCCAGATATTACCGAGACGCGGCCGGGGTGGAGTTCCGCACCCTGATGAAAGCCTACGGGATCCGCTTCGACGTGATGGTGAACGGCAAGGTGTGTGTGACCTCTCCTGTTCTGAGGCTGGGGGATGGGGGACGTTGGGAGAGTCCCTGGGTGCCCCGCTGTGCCTTCTCCTGTTCTGAGGCTGGGTGGTGGAGGGGCGGGGGATATTGGGAGGGTCCCTGGGGGCCCCGCTGTGCATTCTCCTGTTCTGAGGCTGGGTGGGGGGGCAGGGGATGTTGGGAAGGTCCCTGGGGGCCCCTCTGTTCTGAGGTTGGGCAGGAGGGGGCGTGGGGGGGGGGGTACGTTGGGAGGGGTGCCCTGGAGGGACCCACGTCCCCCTGCCTCGCTCACTCGCCTTGTGTGTCCTTCCAGGCAGGAAGTTCAGTAATCATGCCCCCCACATACACAATGTGGGTCTGGGGTGCGCACTCATGGGCGCTGTGAGTACCTCCCCTCCCTACCCGCTTCCCACCCTCTCCCCTGGCAGCTGCACTTCAGGAGGAACATGTCCCAGTGCCCCCAGAAAGAACCAGAGCTGGCAAGATCAGAATGGGCGTGGGAAAAGAGGGCTTTCTGGGATTTCGCGCTCTGCCAGCTGTCCCCAGGTAGCAGTGACAGCCCGAGTCTCTTTCCAGAGCCAGGGAGGCATACGCCGGCAGCTCTGCAGCTGTGGGTGGGTTTGAGTCAGTCCCCAGCCAAGGCATGGCTGGGATATTCCTGGGATCCCAGGTGAGTCCCTGAACTTCTAAAGTCTCCATCTCTACTTCTGCTAAAAGAGGGCAGGATTAGGCCGGGCGCAGTGGCTCACACCTGTAATCCCAACACTTTGGGAGGCTGAGGCGGGCGGATCACCTGAGGTTGGGAGTTCAAGACTGGCCTGACCAACATGGAGAAACCCCGTTTCTACTAAAAATACAAAAATTAGCCAGGTGTGGTGACGGGCACCTTTAATCCCAGCTAATCAGGAGGCTGAGGCAGGAGAATCGCTTGAACCCGGGAGGTAGAGGTTGCAGTCAGCCCAGATCGCACCACTGCACTCCAGCCTGGACAACAAGAGCAAAACTCCGTCTCAAAAAAAAAAAAAAAAAAAAAAGCAGGATTAGGCTGCAGACAGTTTCTTAGCCTGAGTGCTGCTGGCTTTTTGGGTCGGATAATTCTTTGCTGTGGTCTTACACACATCCTCTGACGTGCCTTTAAACATTCTACAATGCACAGAGGGCTGTCCTGGATGTTGTAGGATGTGTTTGTTTTGTTTTCTATTTCATATTTCACACTTTTCCAGTCTGACAATATGTATTTTCCCAGACCCTGAGGATGTTGATTTCAGAGACAGGTTTACCCAGGCACTCTGTTACCCAGGCTGGAGTGCAGTGGCATGATCATGGCTCACTGCAGTCTTGAATTCCTGGGCTCAAGTGATCCTCCCGCCTCAGCCTCCCCAGTAGCCAGGGCTGCAGGTGCACCACCACGTGTGGCTAATTTTTAAATTTTTTGTAGAAATGGGGTCTCACTATGTTGGCCAGGCTGATCTTGAACCCCTGGGCTCAGGCAATCCTCCGGCATTGGCCTCCCAAAGTGCTGGGATTACAGGCGTGAGCCACCGCGCCCGGCCCGTTGTAGGATGTTTAAGAGCGTTCCCGGTTTCTGCCCAGTAAATGTCAGGGGCACCCTCCCCTGCAGTTGTGATGGGGCAGAATAGCAGCTGGCTGAGAACCACCCAACTGAAAGGCTGAGAGGCAGGGAAGACGGCCCTGTGACTCTTCCTTGGAGGTGGCCCTTCAGTGGGGCCGAGAGGGGCTCGCAGGGGAGGAGGCGCAGGCACTGAGGGCAGGGAAAGGCATCCCGAGTCTGCGCTGTCCCTTGGTCCTGAGGGCAGGGAACGGCGTCCTGAGTCTGCGCTGCCCCTTGGTCTCCTGGAGGTTTTGAAAGCCATGGGAATGGTCAGTGGGTGGCTGGTGGCTATCCCAGCAGGTCCCTTTCCCAGGTTTCCGGCGGCATCTTCCCTCGTTCCTCTGCCCATGCATGCAAGACAGCCCCACTGGAGGAGTCCATCGGGACCCGGGGTGACTTTTGTTGAGGCCGGGAAAATTGTGTCCTGCACCAGGACTCAAAAGAGACCACGCTCCTGGGAGGGGGTCAAGAAAAGTGAGCCCCACGTGGATCCCTAGCTGCAGACAGTCGCTGGGAGGGTCCCAGATGTTTGCGCCTATTGCTTTCTTAGAGGGAGGCCCACCTTCAGCCATCGCTTCTCTTTTTCTTTTTTTTTGAGATGGAGTCTCGCTCTGTTGCCCAGGTTGGAGTGCAATGGCACGATCTTGGCTCACTGCAGCCTCTGCCTCCCAGGCTTAAGCAATTCTTCTGCCTCAGTCTTCTGAGTAGCTGGGATGACAGGCACGCGCCACCACGCCTGGCTAATTTTTGTATTTTTATAGAGATGGGGTTTCACCATGTTGGCCATGACCTCAGGTGAACTCCTGACCTCAGGTGATCCGCCCACCTCAGCCTCCCAGTGCTGGGCTTACAGGCGTGAGCCACCGCGCCCAGCCCAGTCATCATTTTCTGGTGAGTTAAGTCGGAGCACCCTCTGGGGACAGACCTGTGAACTGGAGGTAATGGTGCAGAAAGAGGTAGTGGTCAAGGTTAGGTTTGGGGTTGGTCTCTGGGGAGCAGGGAATTAGTAAGCAACATTTTTGGCATCTGGGGGATGGATGTGCAGCACCCAGGGTCCGGGGGCCAGGATTCCTTGCTGGTCCCTCCACTGACCCTTCCCACCTCCACCCTCCCCCGTCATTCAGACCCTAACCCCGCCCTGTGCTGTGGGTGGAGTCGCCCTCTGCTGGAGAACAGGGGCAATTGCATGACCCGCTCTGGTCCTAAGGGCACGTTTTGGGTGCGAGGGGCTGAGCTGGGGTCGTCCACCTCATCATCTTCCTTTTTGTTTGTTTGTTTGTTTTTGTCTTTTTTGAGATGGAGTTTCGCTCTTGTTGCCCAGGCTGGAGTGCAATGGTGCAATCTCGGCTCACTGCAACCTCCACCTCCCGAGTTCAAGCGATTCTCCTGCCTCAGCTGCCTCAGCCTCCCAAGTAGTTGGGATTACAGGCACCTGCCACCACGCCCAGCTAATTTTTGTATTTTTAGTCGAGACGGGGTTTCACCATGTTGGCCAGGCTGGTCTCAAACTCCTGGCCTCAGGTGATACGCCTGCCTTGGCTTCCCAAAGTGCTGGGATTACAGGCGTGAGCCACTGCACCTGGTACCCGTCATCTTTCTTTGACCAGCACCGTAGCGTCCTTGTTGGTTAGAACCCTTCCAGCCCATCTCACACTACCACAGGGATCTTTCTAAATGCTGAAATTCGGGCTGTGGTGCCTCCCCCTCACCTAAAGGATGAGGATCAATGCCTCGGAAACATTCTAAGAAACCATCCACCTCTCCAGACGTGCCTCTCCCTCTTCCCGCACAGGCCCCGCGGCATTTGTTCCTCCCCCTTCGAATGTCCTTCCGCCTCTGCGTCTTGTATCAACTCCTCTTTAGTCCTTAAGGGCTGAATAGGGACCCTCCCCAGGCTGAGTCAAGTCCCGTCTGGGTCATCATCGACACGCCTGTCTCCAGCACCAGAGGGAGAGTCCCCAGGAAGCCTCTCTTGTCCAGATCCTCCCTGTACCTCGGTGCAGGCCCTGGCATCCGCTGGGTGCCCAGCAAACGTGTTGAAGGAACGATTGGACGGGGTCCGGGTGGTGCGGGGTCGGGGAGCGCCTGGCCTGTGGGATCCGGGGAAGCTCCAGTCCAGCTTGGGCTCCACCACGGACCGGCTCTGAGGTCTCAGACAAGGGTGCCCCTTCCTGAACCCAGTTTCCTCATCTGTTAAATGGGGACAATGAGGCCTCCCTTAGGGGCTGTTGCAGGATCGAACAACAAGGTGCCCCAAATGAGCAGTGCTCTCGGAGGTCTAGGACTCTGAATCAGACACCCCTCTTTTGCAGGGGGCTTTCTTCTGTGACCTGGTACTCATCTACCTCATCAAAAAGAGAGAGTTTTACCGCGACAGGAAATACGAGGAAGTAAGGTCAGTTCTGCTTTCAGGCCGCGGTCCAAGTGCAGCCCTGTGGAGCGCCCCCCTGGCTTTGCGCCTTTACCCTGATGTGAATATTGACGGCCGGGGTGGGAGGCAGGGGCTGGAGGGCCCGGGGAGGAGCAGTGTTCTGAGTACATGCTCTACAGAACCGGATTCGGCCTGGGCAGCAGTGGGAGGAGAGGGCGCTGTGGGCCACAGGGAGGGAGACGCAGTTCACAGGCGCCGCCTGACTCTGGACAAGTCCCAGGCCTGCTTGGGCCTTGGTTTCTCTATCTGGGAGATGAGAGAGCTGGTTTACGAATCAAATGGGTGTCTACAGCACTTTCGTTTTGGGATTCTTGGACTTGGTGATCCTGGTGGGCCGGGGCTGAGGGAAGCTGGAGTAGTAAAGGAAAGGAAAGCGCATTTTTTTTTTTTTTTTGAGACCAAGTTTCACTCAGTCGCCCAGGCTGGAATGCAATGGCACCATCTCGGCTCACTGCAATTGCCGCCTCCCGGGTTCAAGCGATTCTCCTGCCTCCGCCTCCTGAGTAGCTGGGATTAGAAACACGCACCACCACACCAGGCTAATTTCGTATTTTTAGTAGAGACGGGGTTTCACCATGTTGGTCAGGCTGGTCTCGAATCCTGACTTCAGATGATCCACCTGCCTCGGCCTCCCAAAGTACTGGGATTACAGGCGTGAGCCACTAATCCACTAATCCGCCCGGCTGGAAAGCAGATATTTTCTTCTGTGCAGAGGCTGTTTCCGGAGTTTCCTGGGCCCTGGGTTTGGTGGGGTGTGTGTGTTCAGAGTGGCAGAGCACAGCATGGGTGGGGAACACTGATGACTGTGGGTGGGCGGGAAGGGGAAGGGGCTGTGGCTTCCGCCTTTGAGGAAGGCTTTCTGGAGAAGCGGGGATCAGAATGGGAGTTGGGGGAGACACCTTAGTGCTCCCTCAGCGCCCCCACAGCCTGGGACAGTGGGTGTCGGGTCTGCCTGTGTCATTCACCTTGCTGCACTCCAGCTGTGGCCTGAACCCCAGCCCTGGGTTATAGGGTGTGCCCTGACCCAGGCCACAGGCTGAACCCCAACCACAGTCCTGACTGTGCTGCTGGAGGAAGCAGGGTAGAGGAGGCAGGGTGGAGGATGCAGGGAGGAGGACGCAGGGAGGAGGACGAGGGGTGGAAGAAGCAGGGTGGAGGAAGTGGAGTGGAGGACGCAGGGTGGAGGAAGCGGGGTGAAGTGGAGTGGAGGACGCAGGGTGGAGGAAGCGGGGTGAAGTGGAGTGGAGGACACAGGGTAGAGGAAGCGGAGTGGAGGACGCAGGGTGGAGGAAGCGGGGTGGAGGAAGCGGAGTGGAGGATGCAGGGAGGAGGATGCAGGGTGGAGGAAGCAGGGTGGAGGACGCAGGGAGGAGGATGCAGGGTGGAGGAAGCAGGGTGGAGGACGCAGGGAGGAGGACGCAGGGAGGAGGATGCAGGGTGGAGGAAGCAGGGTGGAGGAGGCAGGATAGAGGAAGCCGGGTGGAGGACGCAGGGAGGAGGACACAGGGTAGAAGAAACGGGGTAGAGGAAGCAGGGTGGAGGACGCAGGGTGGAGGACGAGGGGTGGAAGAAGTGGGGTGGAAGAAGTGGGGTGGAGGACACAGGGTGGAGGACGCAGGGTGGAGGACGCAGGGAGGAGGACGAGGGGTGGAAGAAGTGGGGTGGAGGAAGCGGAGTGGAGGACACAGGGTGGAGGAAGCCGGGTGGAGGATGCAGGGTGAGGCTGTGGGAGAGGCTGCTGGTGTTTTAGCCCCCAAGGTCCCCCTTAGCTCTCGAGTCCCTGGCTGGCCAGGGGTGCGGGCTGTGCCATGCCAGCACTCAGATGATAACAGTGCCCTGTTACACAGCACTCACTCTCTGCCCAGAACCCCTCTGTACTCTCTGTATTTGTTAAGTCATTTAAGCAACTAAATGAGGTAGACACCAATCTTCCCCATTTTACAAATGAGGAAACTGAGGCACAGAAAGTCTCAGTAATTTGCTCAAGTCACACAGCTGGTGAATGGCAGCGCTGGGATTTGAATCCCAGCAGTGTCTGTAGGATGCGGTTTTCCTGAGTTACTCTGTCTTCGCCAAACGTCTCTGTGCTCAGATGACCCCCCAGCCCCTCTTCTGTGTGCGATTCTGGGGCTGCCCCAGCCTCGGGAGGGTGCTGGCCGTGCTGCCAGGGGGGTCCTTGGGCCGCGCTTCCTGGGGATGCTGGCTTCTCTGCAGACGAGGCTCAGCCTGCGTGGGGAGGGCGTCTGGCTGGGTGGGGGGCCTGTCTCGGGCCTCCTCTGCGTCTGCCTTGCAGAGTGCCTGTGCAGTGAGCAGGTGCCTGGCCCTTTCTGTACCTTGTTTTCCTTTTTTCCCCCTACCATTGGGGGCTGGACACCTGCTGCTCAGTCAGACTAGGGTTCTGTTGACTCTTGTAAACCACACCCCAGGTACCTCACTGACCTGGGTGGCCTTTCCCTGGCCCAGCTTTCTCGTTCCTTGCATGGTTCAGGAAATTGGGCAGCGTTCAGCTGGGAGCTGCCCAGGCAGGGAAGGAGCAAGAAATAGACTGGGCATGGGCCGCGTTCGGTGGCTCAAGCCTGTAATCCCAGCACTTTGGGAGGCCGAGACAGGCAGCCCACGAGGTCAGGAGATCGAAGACCATCTGGCTAACACGGTGAAACCCCGTCTCTACTAAAAAAATAGCAAAAAATCTAGCCTGGGCGAGGTGGCGGCTATAGTCCCAGCTACTCCGGAGGCTGAGGCAGGAGTAATGGCGTGAACCCGGAGGCGAGGCTTGCAGTGAGCTGAGATCCCAGCTGGGTGACAGAGCACGAAATCTGTCTCAAAAAAAAAAAAAAAAAGAGAAATAGACTGGGCTGGAGAAGAGTGAGGAGAGAGAGAGGCAGGGGCTGCAGTGGGGCAAGGAGGCTGGAGGTTAGGGGTCCGTATGGGGTAGGCCCAGAGCCTGGCAGCCCTCCTGTGCTCCCTGAGTTGACTCTTACTTTCTGGGCGCTCACTTGAGCTCCTGTTCTGAGCAAGCGGGAAGCCCGACTGCCTGGCTTGTCTTGGCTGAGCCTCGCTGCGGCTGTGGGAGGCTCCGGACTCACAGGCCCACGCTCCAGCTGCCACTGCAATTGCTGCTGCTCCTTGCGGGGGCAACTCCAGAGGCTTCTGCCTGAGCATCTATGCATGCTGGGCTTCCGCAGGAACCCTGGCGGACCGCGCTGTCTCTGAATGCTCTGCCTGCCTGCGGTGCTGCCTCTGGTGAGGCTGGCCTACCCACTGGCTCCCGACAGTCCTCTCTGCCCTGTGCGCCCCCTCCCGCCCACACACAGGTCTGGCCATTTGCAGAATGCACAGGCGAATTTGGAGCAGCTGCAGACAATGGAGACGTAGCCAGGGCTGTTGGCTACCAGCAGTGTCGCTGAAGACGTCGGGGCCGGAACCACCCGCAGCTCTGAACTGGGAAGAGGAGTCTGTGCCTGCATGAGACAGGGGCTTCCAGGCGCAGCCATCTCTCCTGCACTTTGGGATCTTGCTGCAAGCTTTTCGTTGAGTGAGGAGGGGAGCCGTCCGATGGTCAGAGGGGTTCAGACCTAGAAGAGGAGTCCCTGGAGGCCAGGGAAAGGGGCAGGCCAGGGCCCTGAGTGGAAGTGGAATGTTTGGATTGTCCCTGAACCTGGCTGCACCTTCACTCATTCATATGTGCAGTAAACACGACTTGACGCATGCTGTGTGCTGGGCCCGCCCAAGAGGTGCTTAAACGAGACACTGACCTGCCCTCAGGGAGAGGGGCACGCGTGTAATTCCTCCAAAGCCAACAGAGACGTCACAGCCAGGCCCAGCCACTCCAGCTGGCCCTCCACTAGCCTCTAGCAGAGTTTCAGAAATCCCTGCCGGGAACGGTGGTCGCTCGGAGAAAGCTCTTGGACAACACCCAAGAGGACATTTGGGCTTTGCCCCAAGGATAAAATTTAAAGGTGGCCATGGAGGCAACCAGGAAAGGACTGGAGCAGTCAGGAGGCAGCTGGCTCTTAGGGGGAGAAGCCAGCTCCGGGGCAGTCTAGGTAAGATGGGGAAGGGGAGGCAGGGAGGCCTCTGCTCCACCTGACTCCGCCAGCCTTGGGAAGCTCGGGGAATACGGACTTGCCCAGATGGGAGAGGCAGTTGCCTTGGCCCTGACGAGCTCCTGCCGTCTCTCCAGCCCTCCTCGGAGGCTGCGCCTGAACTACTAACGAGATCAAAGATGGCGCCACTCAGCAGGTGTAAACGGGCTGAGTTAGGGAGGCCCGCATTCCCCTCCCGCTGTCCCCACCTGTCCCGTGCCACACCCACCTGCTGCTCTCTCCCTCCATCACTGTAGAGCCTTGCTTTTTATTTATTTATTTGAGAGAGAGTCTCGCTCTCTCGCCCAGGCTGGAGTGCAGTGTTGTGATCTCGGCTCACTGTGACCTCTGCCTCCCAGGTTCAATCAATTCTCCTGTTTCAGCCTCCCAAGTAGCTGGGATTACAGGTGCCCACCACCACGCCCGGCTAATTTTTGTAGTGTTAGTAGAGATGGGGTTTCACCACGTTGGCCAGGCTGGTCTCAAACTCCTAACCTCAGGTGATCCGCCAGCCTTGGCCTCCCAAAGTGCTGGGATTACATGCGTGAGCCACTGCGCCCGGCCAAGCCTTACTATTTAAAGTGGGGTCCAGGGACTGGAGCCTGCTAGAAATGCAGGTCCCAGCACCCCCCGCACCCAAATCGGAACCTGCGTTTCAACAAGATTCCAAGGTGATTTGTGTGCACAGTGACATTTGAGAAGCCCTGGTTCTCAGGGAAAAAAGGCCAGCTTTGGTGGATGGAGCCAGTTTCTAGGTCAGACTTACACGCATGCTACCAAGAGACCAAGAGGCTCCCTCCCCCACCCTGAGAGTAGCAGTATGCTCAGCTGATTTAAGTTAAAATATTTTGACTAGGTAACACTTATATGATTCAAAGTTTAAAAGGTGCAAAAGAATAGTCGGTGAGAAGCAACCCTCTGTCCTCCCCGTGCCCCAGAGGCAGCCAGTGTTACTAATGCAAGAGGCTCCCTGATTTTGCTGAGAACTCGCTTGGTTTCTTACACATTCACTCAGGTAATGAACTTCTCCTGATGCTGGCGCTTAAGACTGAGTCTCCCCCGTCAAAAACGGACACGAAGTACGTTTCAGTGTTGGGCTTGGGAGCTGACTAGGCCTCTTCTCCTGCCCCGTTGTCTGTGAGTCGTCTCCTTGTAAACCCAAAGTGAGAAACCTGGAGCTCAACCCTCGTCACTGCCCGAGCCTCCCGGCAGAAAAGCCCCCCAGCGCTTTCCTGACTCAACCAGACCCAGTGCTGTCTGGGCGGCTCCCTGGAAGCACCTTCTTTGGAGGGGTTCTCTCTGCACACAGAAAGGGGGGGTGAGAGCACCCCTCCACTGAGGCTTTGGAGAGAAGGGGCCTGGCAGGTGTCAGTGACGCTGTTCCTGGGACCCAGGGACGTGGTCTCCAGAACAGGAACCCTCCCAGAGCAAGGAACTTCCTCACTTTGGGTTGTCTGGGAAGGGAACCTGCAACAAGCCTGTACTGCTCTCTGATTAGAAAGTAAAGATCCAGGCTGGGCCGGGTGGCTTTGGGAGGCCGAGGCGGGTGGATCACCTGAGGTCAGGAGTTCGAGGCCAGCCTGGCCAACATGGTGAAGCCCCGTCTCTACCAAAAATACAAAAATTAGCTGGGCGTGGTGGCGGTTGCCTGTAATCCCAGCTACTTGGGAGGCTGAGGCAGGAGAATCACTTGAACCTGGGAGGCAGAGGTTGCAGTGAGCCGAGATCGTGCCACTGCACTCCAGCCTGGGCGACAGAGCAAGACTCCGTCTCCTTTGGAGGGGTTCTCTCTGCACACAGAAAGGGGGGGTGAGAGCACCCCTCCACTGAGGCTTTGGAGAGAAGGGGCCTGGCAGGTGTCAGTGACGCTGTTCCTGGGACCCAGGGACGTGGTCTCCAGAACAGGAACCCTCCCAGAGCAAGGAACTTCCTCACTTTGGGTTGTCTGGGAAGGGAACCTGCAACAAGCCTGTACTGCTCTCTGATTAGAAAGTAAAGATCCAGGCTGGGCCGGGTGGCTTTGGGAGGCCGAGGCGGGTGGATCACCTGAGGTCAGGAGTTCGAGGCCAGCCTGGCCAACATGGTGAAGCCCCGTCTCTACCAAAAATACAAAAATTAGCTGGGCGTGGTGGCGGTTGCCTGTAATCCCAGCTACTTGGGAGGCTGAGGCAGGAGAATCACTTGAACCTGGGAGGCAGAGGTTGCAGTGAGCCAAGATCACGCCACTGCACTCCAGCCTGGGCGACAGAGCAAGACTCCGTCTCCAAAAAAAAAGAAAATGTCTTCCTACAGTCAGTCATTCCTTTAGCCAGGAAATGTTTATGGAGTCCCTGTGACGTGTCAGGTGTTGGACCAGACGCTGCTGAGACAGGGATGAGCAACACAGACATGATCCCTGCCCTCGAGGGTATCCAGTCTAGTGGGCGTTATCAAATCATCACGCCTGTCATTGCAGGTGGAATGGGGTGTCGGAGAGGTGAATGAGGAGTAGCCAGATAAAGTCTCCCCAAGGAAGCGACCTGTGGGTTGAAATCTGAAAGGTTATAGCAGCCTGACTAGGTGACGGGGAAGCATTCCAGGTGAGGTAAGCGCAGGTGTGAAGAGACGCTTTGACGTGGGAAGGAGCAACGGGGAACCTGGGTGAAGGCGGCAGACAGGAGCCAGGTTTGGCGAGGCTTTTGTCTAATCAAGTTGACTGTCTTTAGCTGTGAGGGTTGCCCCTTTAGACTTTGCTTCCTTAGAGGACTTACCCTCATTGTTTCTTCAAGGCCAGCCAAGCCTTCCAGTGACCTCCTGACTGCCCATCAGGGCCCCCGTGCTCAGAAAAGCCAGAGATCCCGTGACAGCTTCCAGACAGTGTCACACTCTTCCAGTTTCCTTGCTTTTTGCGCAGCCCCCAGCTCCCACCGTTTTTCTGCATAATCTTGGTGCAAGAGTGGGAGGCTCATTAGTCTGATGGAAACTGGCTTTTAAATGGGGAGAAGTGAAGCAGGAACTGGAGCTCCTTTCAGACTTGGGAAAGCCCTTCTCCCTGGGCACTGGTTGCCTCACTGGGAGATGAGAGTGCCAGAGCTCCTTTCTGTTCTGATATTCCAGGAGCACGTGAATTGCCTCTGCTTATGTTCAGGCCCCATCCTAAACCCAGCCGTCCGGCACCGAGCGATCCCAGGCCTTTGGGAATGCCATGATGCTGTCCAACGGGAAATTTGTACACTGGGTGCTATCCATGTCACATCACGGGGACCAGCCATGAAAGAGCAAAGTGACCTCCACGTCTGATGCTGGGGTCATCAGGGCAGACCCATCATGGCTGTCTTTTTGCCCCATCCCCTGCCGTCAGTTCTTCCTGTCTCTGGGGCTGGCTTCCCGCACTAGGGAACGGGTTGTAAGTGGGGAACATGACTTCCTTCCAGAGTCCTTGAGCACCTCAGCTAAGGACCACAGTGCCCCGTAGAGCTCCTAGATTACCTCACTTGGAACGGCATCGCGCATGTCTGGAGAAGGGCTCCATTTGGTTCCGCCCCACTCCCCTCTCCAAGTGCCGCAACTTCCCTCAGAGCATCCTCTCCAGTGGATCCAAGAACTCTCTCTCCTAAAGACACCACCTTCCTGCCAGCTGTTTGCCCTCAGGCCAGTACACAGAATGAGCGGGGGAGATGGCAGACGCTTTCTGGCACCTGCCCAATACATGCATTCTCCGACACTCTTATTTGGTCATAAAACAATAAATGGTATCAATTTCAAATGTGTCCTGACTTTCTTCCCCTCATGGCTTCATGTTTACCTGTGTGTGTGTGTGTATATATATATAGCGAGGGGTGCGTCTATTATACGCCTTATATTATATACGTCTATTCATATATCACGTTTATGCTATAGTATAATTACTGTACGTAGACTGATGAATATGTACTGTATAATTATATTCGTATATAGTGGTGAGTGTGTAGTTATATATGGTAATTATATGTTTATTAGTATATATATATTTTTTTGGATGGAGTCTTGCCTGTAGGCCCAGGCTGGAGTGCAGTGGGCACATCTCGGCTCACTGCAGCTCCGCCTCCCAGCTAAGCGATTCTTTCTGCCTCAGCCTCCTGAGTAGCATAGTTACAGGGGTGGCTAGCCCACCCACGGCCTGCTATTTTTTTTGGTATTTTAATTAGGACAGGGTTGCACCAGTGGGTCAGACCGCCCTGTTGGGTTCGAGGCTGGTCTCAAACTTCCTGAGCCTGTTTTTGATTCTACCCACTGACCTCCTAAGGGGGTGGGGATTACAGGCAAGAGCCCCGTGCCGAGCCATCATTTACGCTGTATTTAATTTTTTTTTTTTTTTTTTTGAGTGGAGTTCTGCTTCTTTGCATCAGGCGGAGTGCACGTGGCCGCCCCCCCCCTCGACTGAACTCTCTGCTCCCGGGTTCAAAGAATTTCCCCTGCCTCGAGCCTCCTGAGTAGCTGGGGCATTAGAGGCAATGTACAACCACGCCCGGGCTAAATTTTGTATTTTTTATGAGACCAGGGATCTCTCCCTGTTGGTTTTCAGGGCTGATCTCGAACTCCCGACCTCAGGTGATCCGCCCACCTCAGCCTCCCAAAGTGTTGGGATTCCAGGCATGAGCCACCGCGCCCGGCCTTTTACCCGTATTTTGAAGGAAAATGTAGGAAGGCAAGATCAAAAGAGGCAGACACGAGAAACAATTAGTAACCCATATATTATATCCTCATTATCTTGCAAGGAAATTCAAATTATGGAAATGCTTTAAATGAACAACTATTAAAATTATAGACTAGGAAGGCACTGATAAAACTGGTACTTTTCATTCAATTAGTGTAATCTAACAACTTGAAATCACTTGGAATCAAATTTTTATCTTCTGCTGTAGGAACTTACTAATTTTCTCAAGACAATATAAACGCAGACATTCATTGGAGAATTTTTTTTTTTTTTTT